CCAGGTAGAGGTAGGCCCAGGAGTGTGTAGACACAGGAGTGTGGTGGCACAGGTGTGTGCAAAGGAGTGTGCAGGCCCAAGAGTGTGCAGAGACAGGAGTGTGCAGGCCCAGGGGTGTGCAGACACAAGAGAGGGCAGGCCCTGAATTGTTCAGGCCCAAGAGTGTGCAGACACAGGAGTGTGCAGGCCCTGGAGTGTGCAGACTCAAGTTGGAGCAGGCACAGGAGTGTGCAGGCCCATGTGTGTGTAGGTCCAGGAGTGTGCAGGCTCAGGAGGGAGCAGGCACAAGTCTGTGCAGGCCCAGGAGCATCTAGACACAGGAGTGTGCAGGCCCAGGGGCGTGTAGACACAGAAGTGTGCAGGCCGAGGTGTGTGCAGTCCCAAGAGTTTGCAGGCCCAGTAGTGTGCAGACACAGGAGTGTGAAGGCCCTGGACTGTGCAGACACAGGAGTGTGCAGGTACAGGAGGAAGCAGGCACAGGAATGTGAAGGCCCTGGAGTGTGAGGCACAGGAGGGAGCAGGCCCAGCAGTGTGCAGGTCCAGGAGAGGGCAGGCCCAGGAGTGTGCAGGCCTAGGAGCGTGTAGGCACAGGATTGTGCAAGCCCAGGAACGTGTAGACACAGGAGTGGGCAGGCCAAGTAGAGGGCAGACCCAGGAGTGTGCAGGCCCAGGAGAGGGCAGGCCCAGGAGTGTGCAGGTCCAGGCGTGTGCCGGCACAGTTGGGAGCAGGCCCAGTAGAGGGCAGTCCCAGAAAAGGGTAGGCCCAGGAGTGTGCAGACACAGGAGTGTGCAGGCCCAGGAGTGTGCAGACATAGGAGGGAGAAGGTACAGGAGTGTGCAGGCCCAGGAGCATGTAGACACAGAAGTTGTCAGGCCCAGGAGTGTGCAGACCCAGGAGTGTGCAGTCCCTGGGGTGTCCAGGCCCAGGAGACAGCAGGCCCAGGAGTGTGCAGACACAGGTGTGTGCAGTCCCAGGAGTGTGTAGACACAGGAGTGTGCAAGCCCAGGAATGTGTAGGCACAGGAGTGTGCAGGCCCAGGAGTGTGAAGTCCCAGGAGAGGGCAGTTCTAAGGGGGGAAGGCCCAGAAGAGGGCAGTTCTAGGAGTGTGCAGGCCCAGGAGTTTGCAGGCGCAGGAGGGAGCAGGCTCAGGAGAGGGCAGAACAGGTGCTGGCAGGCCCAGGAGAGGTCCTATTAGACTTCCATAGATGACGTTGAGAGGCAATGGGCATTTGAGTCTGGAATACAGGA